TAAAATAAAAATCAAGATATTTTAGTTGTGATGAATAAAATAAGTATTGGCTGGCAGTGGACGGTCCTAATAGTAGGTCCACTTTATTATGAATGCCGTACTCAACCATTTCAATTAAATTTTTAGGGTTTCCTAATATTCTTAACCTTAAGTTCATAAAACACACGTAAAATTAATAATACAAATATTGTAGTATAAAAATAATACAAACTTTGATTTATATGCCCTAGTAAGCTCTATGATTAGCATTAGTAAAGGACCACATATTTCATACATAGATTCATTCAATGCTTCACTAGATTTATATATTATAATCAAATAAAGTATGAATTTTTGAAATACAGTATTTAAATTACAATAATGTAACCCATCATAAAATATAACTTACGATAAATACACGAATGGATTTTTATCAATTGGTTGAATAACTATAGTCCTGTTGTCAATAATATCAGTTGAAAAGCTATAAGTTTTGCTCGCATTGTATATAATGCAATGATTTGAATTCATTATTTTAGATAATTATACAAAAGTTGTTGATTAATAAATAGAACTATAGCTATTAATTGACACTTGTACATATTTATACACATTTTAATAACAACTTAATAATCCATTAAGATAATTATTTAAATGACGTGAATATGACTTTATTAGAAACTAATAACAAAACAGATACTGTATTAATAAACAGCAAAATATCAGTGAATTGATTGAAAATATTCAAATATATTACTTACATAAACCTTGTTTGATAAAATATAAATACCTACTACAGTAAATCCGATAAAAACTCTTATATTTGCATTTATAACGTGTTTTAATCAAAAAAAATTAATTATAAGATAAATACAATATCGACAATTCAAATAAGACAACTTAAATTAATATTTATTAATTGGTGACTATTTTACCAAAAATAATATTAATAATAAGATCAATGAAAATGATTACCAAACCGTTTGATTCAAGCACATGGTATCAATAATTGTTATTATACCTGCAATACCAAATATCATAGTCCTCTCACACTACGTCAAATATAATTTGACCTAGCACATGGTATCAATAATTGTTATTATACCTGCAATACCAAATATAATAGTCCTCTCAATTGATTGAACAAATGCTAAGGTTATAAAGACTTGTCATAAAGAGTTTGACAAGTTTTACGAGTCGATAGAAATAAGAAAAACAAATGAGAGACTTATTAAACCGAAACAGTGGTGAAGCCATTCCTCATGTTTGGCATCGATTCTGAAAAAAATTTAATTCATAACAAATACAACGATACTCTCATTCGCGTAGACTTCAGTTTTCAAATAACATTCAATAGTGAAACATAATCTCATATCTCATAACATCTTATCCCTGATGATGGTCACAGTGTTATCCGAAAACTTTAGACAAATAACTTAATTTTATTTTTAAGTCATTTTTCACTGATGCTGTCAATAAATATTGATAACTTAAACTAAATATTTGATTTGTTGCTTATTTATACTATCAATACAATGTAGATACAAATAGGATATACAATATAATAGTTCATTTGCCGATTAAATTGAATTTATAGTAAATTTAATTATTTTAATACTTTTTTCATAAAATTTTATGAAATTCAAAAATTAATTATTTATTCAACAAAAATCATTTCAAACAAAACTCAATTCAGTATTTTATTCCTTAAGTTATATATAAATTATTACTTATAATTCGTATAATTTGATAAAATTGTTATACATTTTATTTTCTGAATATTATATGTATTGAATTCAACATTTTTATAATACTATACCAAATCAATATCGACGCCTTCTCTCAATGTAATACACGTATGGCTCAAATACAAACAACTGGCCGTATATGGCATGTCGTGTCGGGTAATTCAGTGTCGAAAATATACGATTATTATGAACCGATTGAATCAAATGGCTATTCCGTGAATGATTAGGAGTATCACTAATTTGATTATAATATTTATGACCAAATTTCTTGTAAATAAATTCACACAAAAGTACGATTAGTGCCAAACAGATACCAGAACTTAGTAATAGATAGACATCATAGACATCGATAAGTGTTAGGACATCGAAATCATGCTTTTCCTCATTATCTCGATGAATAATCTCATGAATTTCAAACTTATTATTAAGTATTATATCCTTTAACCACTTGTCATATATTCCTGACTCGCGACACATTTTAATCCTAAAAGTGATCAACAAATTTATTACAAAAATGTTAAAATGATATAAACTTACATTTGGTTCAAGCTTTTAGAAACCCAGGGATCAGTCTTAGTGTTAACGAATACAAAATACGGTTCTTCACCCCCACTGTCCTCTGATATATGAATTGTATTCAATAAGTCTTTATTACTTGTTTTGTCTTCATTTACAACATTTGCAAAACGGATGATAAGGAAAATCAACGGCAACTTAGGGTTCATCAAAGCAAATGAACCGTTTCTTAAGCCTTTGATAACCATTTTCACAAAATTATCATCAAATAAATGAGAGTACTCTACAATTCGTGGTTTAATGGCTTTCGTTACATTAGAGTCCACGAGCTCTACATAAGATATCATTGAACTGTCATTTCTGACTAAAACACTCATTTCTTTGCGTTCAGACAATTCCTCTAATGAGTCAATGAGATCCAAAGGGTCCGCTTTAATCATATGGTCCAAGAGGTATGAAGTGAATAGGGTGGAGATGAACAAGCACAGTATTAACCAAAAGCCAATAAATAGCTTTTGTTTAGATTTTCTCAAAAAATGTTGCATTGATTTTGAAAATAACATGATAAAATAGTTAAACAAGTATTCATAAAATATATTAATATTAGAAAATCCTTTCGATGAAAGTATAGACAATATAAATAATAAAACTGCTATAATAATCCAAACTTCATACTTGACAGTATCAAAATACTCGAATGGACAGACTTCACCAGTACCCACCCTGGTCATAAAGCTGCCCACTTCCCAGTAGCCAATATTGTCTGTCCAATTATAAATGAGACCAAGTTGTTGTAAGTTGTCAAGGTTCCTTATGAATACACTGGCTGTAGATGGCCATAGGATTATATCTCCACTTTCAACGAGGGATACAGCTAAATCGGTTAAACTATTGGGCATTGACTTAAATCTTATGCTAAATTAAATTGAAAATAGTGTTATAATAGATTACCAAAATTTTACTTCACTGAATAATTTTAAATATAGAAAGATAGCCAAATATACTAGCTTTGATTTGTATAGTTTTGCCATTTCTATGATTAACATCACTAGTGGCCCACATATTTCAAACACAGACGTATTATTTGTTGGACTTTAGATGAAAATGTATTACATAATTAAAAATGTAAGATGTACATTGGCAATACTTACAAATATGATATGTATGGCGGCATATTGAGCGCTTGAACAACCAAGGTCCGATTGTCGATTATCTGATCAGACAATTTCATGAACTCATTATCAGTAACTTTAACACAATTATTAAAAACCATTTTATTAAAAATCAACAATTTATATTTATAGATATCAAGATAAATTCAATTATTGATCAATTAATTATGTCTTAATTTATTGATAAGTAAAAATAAATGTAAGTTTATTAGTGTGATTTATATTACATTTATAAACTAAAATTGCACTCAAACTCATTAATGGAGAACATTATAAAGTAAAACTAATTATTCACTAATCAATAAGATCAGGAAATGTTAAAAAACACCTAAAATAATATTAAAATATTCTAGAATAATTTTAAATATAATTTATATTAACTATTTATATTCAGACATTTATATTGATTTAATTTTAAATCACGAGATAATATATAAATAAATATGCAATAAGTAAATTACAATACAAATTTTATTATTCGTGAAATAGTTTTATAAACAAAAATAAATTATAAGTTAATATTTAGAGACTAAATATGCAAATTATATTTTGAAACATGTAGATGTTTATTTACAATAGACAATATATCTTTTATATAAGTTTATACGGTATGACAAAAAAATAAAGGTAATTTAGTTTATCTAGTAAATTAGTTTATCTAATTTAGTAAAGTAGATTATCTATTTAGTAAAACACTATTATTTAATGAAGTATTTCATCTTATAAATTCATTGCAAATAACAAATTAAATCCAAACCATTTGACATAATAAAGTAGGAAAAATTATTTTATTATACAGTTCTCTTAGCTCTACAATATGCGGATAGGCTGTACTGCAAAGCTGTCCCTGAACAGAAACTTAACTGCCTTACATAAAATACTGCACTGCTATTTGACACGAATATGCATAACAGTGAACTGTAAAGTTTGCAAACTTTAAAAATAATGAGTTATTGTTTTGAACCAATGTTTTAATGTCTTAATTGAGTTTCAAATATATTAAAACAAAATCTTGAGTTTAAAGACAGTTCTCAAGGGTTAAACCATTTGTCACTCGAAGAGATCCAAACACTCGATGTATTGGACTCTAAATTCAATTCCATTATCTCTCAAAGAGGTAACCATTCACTCAACACCACTGTCACCGCAAACAATGTCTTGAATTAAACGAATGGTCAGATTATAGACGGCAGGAGTGTCGAAGACATCGTATGACTATCACAGCAAAAGAGTCCACCGGTTGAGCGCTTCGCACGAGTCGACGCCATCGAGAGCTCAGAAACACATGAATGACACGAATATGGAGGAAATGGTTGCCTGCGGACAGACACCGCACGAAATGCCGACACAAATGGTGTCCAAGACATACATAATACCCGTGAATCCGGATGAGACACCAGTGGACAGGCAGTCGCTGTTTGAGTGTCACTCGAAAGGCGCCAAAGAGATGGCGGACAGCGGGGAAACGAGTTGAGTGACGGGTGGATCCGTTGGCACACCATTGGGTGGATCCGTTGGCACACCATTACTGCCCAACGATATCGCGTATATAGTGAATGAGTGCTCGTATTCAGCGCCCAATAAGTCAGGTCTCATACGACACCTCTCGCGCGTCCACTCCATCGCGCCCTTTGAATGTCAGTATATATCGTGCGGCAAACTCTTCGCCAACAAACCGGATCTCGATCTCCACGTGAATCGCATTCACCTCAAGATCTTTCACTGCCATATCCAGGGCTGCGGGAAGCACTGTAAGAGCCTCTGGAATCTGAACATCCATTTGATGACACACTCGTCGGAGAAGCGTTTCAAATGCAATGTGAACTGCCCATGCTTTAAGAATACGGTACATGACTGTGACAGCGAACCTCTCGCCCGCGATATACGCCCTGTCAACGCACCGGTATTCATGGCTATGCGTTACGATTAAGATATGTAGTGATTTGTCATTTGAGTGCTAAGATATGACATTAAATATCACTTGTATTCACTATTTTATGGCTGTATTTATGGCATAATTTTATAACATTTTATTGAATTTTAATTTCTATGAATAGTCTATACTGTAATTAAATTGTAATTAACATTAAGTACACACAAGAAATATTATTATAAGTTATAATTAGTTAGAATGAATACAATGTATTGATTATTTGAAAACAAATCCATTGAATCTATTAAAAGCATTACAACCAAAATCTGCCCGAAAGTCAGTTTTAATGAATTAAAATCATATGAAATGAATATTTATGTGAAAATGTGGACTAAATATCGGGTGAATTATTACAATATCTCACCGTTTTCATCGAAAACTATTTTACTTTTCAGTTTATGTTCAACATGTTTTCCGCCGGTTAATATAGCGAATTTAAGTCGCTTTACAAATGACTCACGAGTATTTGCCAACATTTGAGGTGTAATTAATTTAAATGACCGGCGAATCGAATCCTTGAGCTCTTCCTTACCATTAATCGGTACTTTATATGTCTCATCTGAAAGTATAAAAGGTTCCTAAGATGTTGACTACCTATAGAATGATATTCAACTTACTCTCCACATAACCCCAGACAAAAAAGTCCAGAGAATTGAAGTCTGGTGACCTCGCAGGCCATGGGTAAAGTGGACTGCCCCGTCCGATCCACCTCATGGGAAAATGCTTGTTGAGCCAAGCTCTGGCCTCCAATGAGTAATGAGGTGACGCACCTATAAACTCAATAAAAACTTTAATTTAGCCAAATGAATGATCCCATTTTATCACACTCATACGTACCGTCCAACACAAATATCATCCTATCAAAGTTTGGCATCTCTTTGATAACTGGCAAAACCTTAAAATAAGGTTAGATTAGGTTAGCATATGTTATGTTAGGTTAGGTTAGAACCTCTGTGTCCATCATTTTGGTAAATGAATCGCCTCTCACGTTGTCGTCAAAAAATAATGGACCTATAATATAGTCGCCAAAGACACCAGCCCATGCCATCACTTTCTCACTACTCATACTCTTATTCGCACTGATCCAATGTGGATTCGTTTGGGACCAGTAGCGAGTGGTCTGCTTATTGAAACGGCCATCGACTTGAAAGTTTTTTTCATCACATATGAGATGCAATGAAACAAATTCTGAATCTGAATGGAGTTGCGTTAGGGCCCATTCAGCGAATTTGTACCTCTTTTGGTAGTCAGAATCTGAAAATATAAATCAGTTACAGTTCCTTAGATGTTGTAAAGTTTAATAATACTATGCAAAACTTGAACGTTTTTGACTTTGTATGGAAAGAAGTCGTGTTGTTTCAATACTTTATAAACGGATGAACCACTTATTCCGCACTTTGAGCCCACAATTCTTGGCGATTGAATTGGGTTAACACTATATTCACCTAAAACGACTGACGTGATAGTGTCGTTTGTCGCAGGTTTTGATCGGATCCGTTTGTTGTCCTTCAGTTCACCTGAAAGTAAATTTTAGGTTAGAACTCTGTATCGTTTCAATTTTAGTATAAAAATACATACACTTTTGTATCCATAAATCATGGATTCGTTTGACTGTTGTATCTGTTGGATGTTTAGGCCAATTTGGAAATGTCTCCCTAATTGCGTTTGCAGCCGATCTATAAGATGTTGATTTGGTTACCATGTCAACAATTTGTCTTCGCTCTTGAAGTGAATATTTAGTCACATCTTTTGTTTTCAATTGATTTTCATTTAATTCATTATTAATAATGTTTTGATTGTTTTCGTCATTAAAGTCCTCAGTATTTGAATCAATGATTATAGAGCACTCAGTTAGGCATTGCTTTGGTCGTGTGGCCGACGAGTGGTTTGTCTGATTTGAGTCGTAGTTATATTGCGATGAAATGAGTGGCAATGGATGCGATTGTTGTGCCGATGGGTTGTTGAGTGCTTTGTGAGACTGACTTGTGTTGTGCTGAACGATGACACTGTTATGCTGTCCACCGGCCGACCCATTCGTAAACGCATTGGGCGAATGGCTCAAAGACATCAACATATTGGCCGCCTCTGCGCTGTCGAACTGACCGCTCGATTGATTGGCTGTGGGCTGAGGCGGACGATGAGATTCACCGGATATTGAGTTCATTATGTGATTGGATTCGATCAACGGTTCGACACTAATTACTCGTCCGACACTTCTGTTTAGTGACGAGACTTTGACCGACCATTGGTTGTGCTGTTGAGGCATTGATTTCATCGACAGGTGACGCGAACAGAAACCCCGTTTCTGCGACTCTTTGGTGCAGCCATCGCGCGAACACAATATCTGCCACCGCTTTCCATTAAATTTCTTGAGGTTCCCATTGGACGCCGAAACGATGTCTCCCTTTTTGTATTTATGAGGAGCCGGTGTACTCGAGTTGGAGAACTGACAGATCTCTTCGTCGTCGACGTCCGCATCGGAGCAGTCTTCCTGTTGGTCGTTACGGGTGGTCGTCGTGTTGCGATCGACGACCAACTGTTGCGGTCGACAGCGGGGTTCGGCGACCGACGTGTCGGTGATGGTGTAGAAGTTACGGATACAGTCCGGACTGAGCTTCATCTCCTCCATCTTGTTCTTCGCCACACGAGACAAATACTTAGCGTTTGTGGTCAACGGATGATTGCTGTGGTTATAGATAATGCAGTTGTGGACAATCCATTTGATGTCCGCCAGGAAGGCCGCCTGAGACCTATACCAGTGATTCTTGATGTTCCTGTCAATGGTGGACAGATCCATGGGATAGTGGACTAATTGGTGGTAATCGGGAAACACGATGGGAGAGACGGGTTTGTGAAACGTCGGGTCCGCCGACTGACGGATCGTCTGCAACGCAAACGTCAACTGTTGCGACATCTCTTCGACCGACATCTGCGCCAACCGTGACTTTACGGGTGTGGACGAGCCTTCGGTGCCGTCCGGGAATGACATCAAATCTGACTCTTCTTTGAGAACGTCTTTACACTCGACACAAACCCAGGAGTCAAAGGACTTGCCGTTAGTCTTGCTTTTCGTATCACTTATGGCATTATTAGCTAAGGAGGAAGTGTTGCCGGGAATACACTTGAGATGATAACTACGGGGACACTGTTTGCAGACGATATTACTCTTGTCTTTATGACACACCCAACAGAACCGGTCTCTTACAGCACCGATAGTCTGTGGGCCGACAGTCGAGGCCATACTATCCGGGTCTTCGGGTTGAGTGGGAGCCGCACATGAGTCGCTAAATATGTGGTAAAACAAGACATCAATAAGTGATTGACATTTATATTCACTTATTCAACAAAGTTTTGACATTCATTTGAATCAATAGTTTATGAGAAATGTGTTGAAAATGCAATTCAAGACTCAAATGAATGCAATGTTTTTGAGCGCTATTTGCAAGCAATGATCAAATGAATGGTATGTTTAGTGCTAATCAATACCTGTTGTCATAGTTGGTGGTGAACGTGGATGAGTGTGGATGTGTTGTCTGTGCCATATGTGTGTCCTTAAGATCACATTCGGTGCTAATGTCCATCAATGGCTGCAAATGTTGACCACTATTCATGTCATTACTATTCACGTCATAATCGCCGATATTTTCGTACATTTTCTCCAAACTATGGTTTGTTTCGCACTTCAATTGACTTAAGATTTTTATTACATTTCAAAATATGTCTAAAATATTACAATTAATATAATTGTTTTGCGGAGAAATGTGACAAAAATTATTGAAAACACGTTTTTTACAAACAAAATTAAATACAAAAAGTTTGCAAACTTTACAGTTCACTGTTATGCATATTCGTGTCAAATAGCAGTGCAGTATTTTATGTAAGGCAGTTAAGTTTCTGTTCAGGGACAGCTTTGCAGTACAGCCTATCCGCATATTGTAGAGCTAAGAGAACTGTATATATGAAAAGAATATTATATACAAAATCAATCAATTCAATATTAATGTTTTAAATAACTTAATAATGAGGACTCACACAAATTACAAATCAAGTTGTTTAGTTGCACTAATACCGTATCATTGAGTAAATAAAAATTAATTCAATATCTAAACTGTTTATTCTTCAGGGATGTGGTCATCGGTGGTCAGTATTTTCAGTATAAGAATCGCTTTCTTAGCGGCAATTCGTTTGCTTTCGTAACACTCGTGATCACTCGCACCGGTAGTCGCGATCAACGTATACTCCATGCGCTCAATAACCACTTTAATCACCACATAATACATCCCATTAATAACCTGTTCGTCACAAACGACACGACAGGCCAATAGACTCGCCATTTGAACCAATTTATCGAAAAAGTCTAGACTTTTGTCGAAAAAATACTTATTTAACTTCGACTTCACATCTGATCCGATGCTTAAGAAATATGTCATCAATTGATTAGATGACGCGGATAGGGAGTGCGGTTTAGTATCATTACTGCTAGGTTTCCTCAACAGTGCCACCATTTCCTGAGCCGACATATTTTTAGCCAACTTTTTCGTCGGCTAAAACTCCCTAAACCATACATTTTATGGAAATAATAGATGCATTCCTTAAGCTATAAATTATTACTTATAATTCGTGTAATTTCATAAAATTGTTATACATTTCATTTTCTGAATATTGTATGCATTGAATTCAACATGTTTATAATACAAAATCAAATCAATATCGACGCCTTCTCTCAATGTAATACATGTATGGTTCAAATACAAACAACTGGCCGTATATGGTATGTCGTGTCGGGTAATTCAATGTCCAAAATATACGATTATTATGAACCGATTGAATCAAATGGTTATTCCGTGAATGATTGGGAGTATCACTAATTTGATTATAATATTTATGATCAAATTTCTTGTAAATAAATTCACACAAAAGTACGATTAATGCCAAACAGATCCCATAACTTAGTAATAGATAGACATCATAGACATCGATAAGTGTTAGGACATCGAAATCATGCTCTTCCTCATTGTCTCGATGAATAATCGCATGAATTTCAAACTTATTATTAAATATTATATCTTTTAACCACTTGTCATATATTCCTGATTCTCGACACATTTTAATCCTAAAAGTAATCAACGAATTTATTGCCAAAAATGTTAAACTGATATAAACTTACATTTGGTTCAAGCTTTTAGAAACCCAGGGATCAGTCTTAGTGTTAACGAATACAAAATACGGTTCTTCACCCCCACTGTCCTTTGATATATGCATTGTATTCAATAAGTCTTTATTACTTGTTTTGTCTTCATTTACAACATTTGCAAAACGGATGATAAGGAAAATCAACGGCAACTTAGGGTTCATCAAAGCGAACGAACCGTTTCTTAAGCCTTTGATAACCATTTTCACAAAATTATCTTCAAATAAATTAAAGTACTCTACAATTCGTGGTTTAATGGCTTTCGTTACATCAGAGTCCACGAGCTCTACATAAGATATCATTGAACTGTCATTTCTCATCAAAATCTTCATATCTCTGCGTTCAGACAACTCCTCTAATGAGTCAATGAGATCCAAAGGATCCGCTTTAATCATATGGTCCAAGAGGTATGAAGTAAATAGGGTGGAGATGAACAAGCACACTATTAACCAAAAGCCAATAAATAGCTTTTGTTTAGATTTTCTCAAAAAATGTTGCATTGATTTTGAAAATAACGTGATAAAATAGTTAAACAAGTATTCATAAAATATATTAATATTAGAAAATCCTTTCGATGAAAGTATAGACAATATGAATAATAATTCTGCTATAAAAATCCAAACTTCATACTTGACAGTATCAAAATACTCGAATGGACAGACTTTACCAGTACCCACCCTGGTCATAAAGCTGCCCACTTCCCAGTAGCCAATATTGTCTGTCCAATTATAAATGAGACCATGTTGTTGTAAGTAGTCATGGTACCTTATGAATACACTGGCTGTAGATGGCCATAGGATTATATCTCCACTTTCAGCGAGGGATATACCTAAATCGGTTAAACTATGGGGCATTGACTTGAATCTTATGCTAAATTAAATTGAAAATAGTGTTATTAATAGATTACCAAAATTTTGTTTTACTGAATAATTTTAAATATAGAAAGATAGCAAAATATACTAACTTTGATTTGTATAGGTTTGCCATTTCTAAGATTAACATCACTAGTGGCCCACATATTTCAAACACAGACGTATTATTTGTTGGACTTTAGATGAAAATGTATTACATAATTAAAAATGTAAGATGTACATTGGCAATACTTACAAATATGATATGT